TTTATCTGTTTTTTAAATTAAAAGAAGGGGGAAAAAATCAAGGCATAGGCTCTGATTTAAAGCAGTCTCCTACGCATGGAGTTTTGCTGTGCCAAGACAACACATCTGTCTGTTCTTCATGTTTTGACCTCAAGGAACGATGCAGTCTTCCTCAAGAAATCTGTCTCGATTACCCACTGGTCTGAGCAATGATGGTTATGGAGAACCATTCCCCTCCCAGTGCTGGGGCCTCTGACTGTGATGTGCAGTGTGACTGGCAGTGACGAGCAGCAACTGGTACTTCAGGGTCAGTTCATTGTTAGCACCACTCTGGTGTTAATATATGACACACAATTACACTTCATCCTCAGAAGAAAGTGCTAGAAAGGAATATGCCCTTTAAAAGGCTTGTTGTAATTTTTTCCCATATTTTGAAAAGGGGAAAGCTGTTACTTTGGTTTTACATATGAGAACAGTTGCAGGTTATGAAGAGAAATGTATTTCTAATAATTAGAAGATTGCCTAGATCTGGGTTTGCATACTTGCACAGATGATGCAGGATCTGAAACCAACCCAAGTGTTTGAAAGGCACTGAAATTTTCTCTTTTCCAAACACAAATCTAATCCACCTCAGCTTTACGCACTGCTTGCTGCAAACAAAAAGTCAGCTTTTTGTTCCTGTTTATGTATCAGTTACAGCTTAACCAGGGACACAGAGGAGCCACTGTGCTGCCATGGAGCCGTGGGGCATTCCGGCAGGTGCGGATCAGCCCTATAACCAAGCTCCGTGCAGGTGGGAGTGCAGCCAACATGGACTGGGGAGAGCTTGGGCAATACGACTGTGGGTTTCCCTGTCCCACAGTGCAAGAAGGAGGGATAAGGTGAGCAGTGAGCAGTGGGAAGAAGACATGGAAGGGAACAAAACATTCGGATTTGGAGAGAAACAACATTTAATGCGATCTTCTATTCACCTTCTGTCCTCCGCTGATGTGTTCCAAGGTAAGGAAGACAGAGATGTCTTGACTAGTGGAATTTGCAGTATCAGCAAGAACTTCAGCACATGCTTGTTTGGCCTCTCTGATCTTGTCTATGTTACTAAAATGGAGATGATTCAAGTACACAATAAGCTGCTCTTTAACAGTTGAATAAGGTACTCTAGGTGGACTGTCAGGCAAATAACTTTACATATTTTTAAGAAATATGTCTGTTAAATTACTTGATTCATAAAAAGGTGCATGATTACAGGGAGACAAATGTAGCATTGCCTCCTCTAGGAAGCACTAGGTCAGGAATTTCCAACATGCAGTCAAGCAAGGAGAAAACGCTTTGTTGAATGTGATAGAAGAATTTTCGTAACATCTCATATGATTCAACAGCAACTCCTCCATTAGTTCCAGTACTGCTGAGTTGAAGATCAGCCGTTCTTCATTGCCCTTTCTATAGATGAAGGATGGAAACTATTCCCTCTTCCTCCCAGCCATCCTAAGCAGTTGGATGAGAGAGCTCACACTGTACTAGCACTGGGAACAAAAGGAACAGTTCCTTTCTTGAGTGCTGACACCCTGATACCACCAACAAGCTGCAGTTTCAATTAGGAACGTGGAAAAGGTACAAGAAGTCTTCTTAAGGCAACTTAACTGAATTGATCTGCTAATTGAAAAGGGTCACGGGTACCCTGAGTTTGACACAACTGCTGGGACAACAGACCACTAGGAGCACAAATGGGGACAACACATGCTTCACTCGATTAAGCAATCAATAAGATTGTTGTCTTCTATCTCTGCATTCTGGCAACATGAGCATCCAGGTATTATTTTTGAAACAAATTGTAATTTGAACCTTGCCAAGCCAATTAGAATGTTACCTGCAAGGTCACGAGCATCCTTAAAAATAGTGCAGATTGACTTATCTTCTGGTGACAAAAAGCCCCAGAGATATTTTTTTTGGCACCTTGCATTCAGTTATTTTCACCCTTCATTGTTCCCGTATCAACTGAAAATCGTCTCAAGTGTTACAGTGTGACAGTGTTAAGTTCCCTGCTCTCATGCTGGAACAAGAAGGAAAGCTGGGTGATGTTCTTTCCCCTTACCTGCTAGAAACTGAACATGTAGGAAAAAGAAGAAATAGAGTAGGCCAATACAGTGTTGAATAGAGGTGGTGAAAAATTAAAGCTTAATGATTTCAAACCCCTTTAAAAATAGTTCTGAGAACAAAAAGTTCTTGCTTTCCCCAGTATGCTGGGGGATTAAATGAGCACAAAGCAGTGCATGGCCTGCCTGCCTCCATAACATGCATACACACATTAAGAAACAAAATTGCCAGGCTCTGGCATAGATCTACAGGAATTCTAAAATGAGATTAATATGGTTTTTATTAGCAACTCTTTAGCAAATGTCTCAGCAATCAGAGTTTGCATGTTTGGTTTTTTTTTTCAAAATACAGATAAAGAAGAAAATGTCACTGTTCTTCCCTCCAATCCCATCTTACCAACTCTGCATTCCTTCAGTGCTGACTATTAACCCTTTGCTCTTTTTAAGGGTTAGTTTGGATCCCACGAAGGCTCAGAAAACCTGGGTGTGACTCTGCTTGATTTTTTCTTCCATTGTCTCCTCAGTTTGCATAAATCTGAGATTGCCAAGACTGAATAAATAAAGCTTAGTTTTCAGAAGGAAGTTTTATAGTAGTTGATGATACAGTTCAGTATTTTTTTGCTTTTCAGCAGTATTCGTCTTTCAGCATTTTGCCCTGTGTTCTGTTTTTCTCCTTTCAAGCCAAGTCATGATTTCACTTGATTTGTAATTTGAATACAGCCAGGTGTCTCCACTATCCCCAGTATCCTGGATGTGATACACAAATATTTCCTTCCCAAGTCCAGAAGCCTTTCTGTTACAATTTTTTAAGTTTTGAAACCTTGCATAAAACATTTTTTTCTTGAATTTCATTCTTCCTGGGACTTAAAGAAGCTCTTTTCATGTTGCTTTGAATCAAGGCAAACCTACTACACATTATCATCTGATAAAAAGTATTTCCGTTACTGTAAGCAGAATGTCTAACAAGATGCTTCAAACAAATGGGGCAGAAGTAACCTCAAAGAAAATAGCACTTTCCTCTTTGAACAGTTGAAATGTTTGGTTGTTGTACAGAGGTAATGGATTACACAGGAAAGAATTCATTCTCTCCATGCAGCAAAATCCATTATTTATAGGAGTGTGATGATAAGGAGACTTATCTAACACTAATTCCAGCTGCTCAAAACTGTTGCAGAAGATCATAATTACCGTTGCTATAAATTCATTAACACGATAGATCTTGCATTGCTGCTGAATGCCCAACACAACAGGGAATCTGATCCCTTAGGACAGAACAGGCTTCATAACCCCCTGCACAATGAAGACTAACTAGGTTGGCTTGCTTATGGTGAGAAGTATAAAGGCAGTTTCATCATGTTCCCCGTAGGCTTATTTATGATGCTTCTCTGTGCTCCCACAACAAGGGCTGATTCTATACAAATGACTGTGGACTCATTTACACTGCACTGATCACATCCCTTCAGAATCACTTGCAGGTCTGTAGATCAAGGAGAGAACAGAAAATAAACTCCTAAGTGAGAATCCTGTGCCGTGTCCTGCCTGCAGCTCTCAGAATGTGTATTTCCACTGGAAGGCGAAGAGTAAGGGAGCTCCATCCATTTCCACCACCTTTCTCCTCATCTCTGAATCTTTTTTGAAATCACAGTGCCCCTGGGCTGGCTAGGATCACTATTTACAACCAGTCCCATACTTCTGTCTGTCCTCATCCTGATTAGCCTAGTTCAGCCTCCCTCCCCCAGCACAGGTTGCAGAGCTCTGGCTGGGAGGCTCTAGCTCTAGACCTCACCTGCTGCTGACAGACTCAACAAAAACAGAAACCACAGACGGTAAAACCAATTGCATTTGGCAACTCAGAGGCATTCATGTTCAATTTGAGATCTGCTTTTCTAACAAAGACAGGTGAAATTACCTTATGGGTGTTTTGCTTTTGCTTTTCAGACAAATTAGCAGCAATTACATAAAAGAACGATTCATTTTCTGCTGCAAACATAAACAAGCTGCCTGCAAACAAATTTAGAGGGGAAAAATGATGCAATATGGAAACTTCAAATCGAGCTTTTAAAGCAATGTTACTGGGTTGCTATGAAAAATGCTTAATCATGTGGCTTATATTGCAGGCACTTTTTCAGTAGGTTATGATTGTGAACAAATGATATGTCAGCCTCCTAAATTTTTCATCTGCAGACACTGATAACCAATGCCTGGTATTGAATACCCCACCTCTGGCTGAATTAGTGATTGGAAATGCGAGGTGTGTGAAATGCTTCAGGTTCAGATAGATATGTGCCATCAAACAGGAAGGACAAGTTTAGTTTCAATGCAGACTAGATATACTGAGCTTTACAACATCATTGACGTTTTCAGTGCAGCCAATCAAAATGATTTTACTGATTCAAAGTTGCTCTGTCACCTGAACTGATTAAGGAACACCACTGATTTTGATTTTAGCATTCAGCAGTGGCCAAAATTTGCTTTACTGTCATCAACATTGAACTCAGAAAGACTAGAAAGAAACTAATCCTGAGTACTTTTGAAAAACCCTACCTTAGAAATCCTTACTCTATGTTACTTAAAATATGCAGTTTATAGAATCTACCATGAGAAATTCTGCCAGAGTGGATCTGCAGTGCAGCTGAGAATACAAGCAAACAGATGATCTATATAATACTCTTACTTGAAGCTTTGAAATCTGACAACTAAAAATAATTTTTTGGAAGGAAAACTAATTCCTCTCCATCTCTTTTCCAGTACATGAAATATTCAACTCCTATTTTCTTTTCCAGGAGGAAATGGCAACAGCATTTTGCAAATTGCATTCTGTGCAAAAACCTCTCAAGCTTTCCAACTTGTACTCAAATCCCAAGACAATAAAAATGCATATAAACTATTTAGAAGCCCATCAGAATAAAAACCAGAGGTATTTAAATCACATGCTATTTCAAAGTCCAAGATGTTTATTTCAGATTATAAGGAACTTTTTCTGCTGTCACACAAACATACACAAAATGTCAGAAAGATATAAAATAACCTTATTCCAGACCACATGATGAGACTGAATTTGTACAAGTCTGTGGGACCAGGACACGCATCCCAGGGTCCTGAAGGAACCAAATGAGGCAGTTGCCAAGCCTCACTCACTCATATTCACAATGCTGTGGCTGTCAGGTAAAGTCCCCAGTGACTATAAAAAGGGAAACATCCTTCTCATTTTTAAGATAGAAGGGAAGAGCTGGGGAACTACCAGCCAGTAAGCCTCAGCTCTGCGTCTGGGAGATCAGGGAACAGATCCTCCTGGAAACTGTGTTAAGGTGCAGATGAGACAAGGATGTGATCCAAGCCATCCTGATTGAGGTATGTCTGCTCTGTGCTCTTGGTTTGACCTGGAGAATGATGTTAGGAAATCACTAAGGAAAAAAATGTGTGCCAAGAAATTATCGTAAAACACTGAGAACATGAGTATTTTTATTTATTTGAAAGCGGCTGAGAGTTTTCCTTTTGATTTGAATAATGACTATTAATTGATTACTGAATCAGCTATCAGACAAGTGCTCTGTGTGCATGTCAAGTTATTGGCATGATATGAAACAAAATGGTAAAGAAAAACAGAGAATATTTACCTTCTGAAATGCCCCATGCATCTCAAACTGCTTCACAGTACCATGAGTAATAGTGCTGCTGTCACTTTATGAACTGCAGGCACAGCATTTGCTACATGGTGAGTAACTGCTGCCATGTAATTCTTCTTTAAGAGGAAGAAGTTATAAAGTACTATCATTTTAAAGAAAATTATTAGAGTTGTTGCGTATTTTATTAAAAGATGTCATCCCATGTAAACTATAGGATGATGGAAGGGCTGCTCTCAGCTCTCGCTGACTTCGGACCTACGAATTAGGAGCTGAAAGGACTGCTCAAATCAAGGTAACTTTGAAACTTCCAAAACTGAGGATTCAAGCCATTCTTAGGCAGGAGGCCACTGGGATCTGTAAACCAGCACAGTGATAAGCATGCTAGCACAAAGGCAGGACCACGTCTCCAGAGGTGTAAATCAGCATGAAACTGCACTATTTTACTTGAGCAGAGCAAGGACAGGTCCCATCACTTGTCTACAAAACTTGGTTGTCTTTCTGAGTTTGCTATTCATAATAGTAATGTCTAACAACATTTGAGATCCTGTCCTCAGCTGTGCCTCCTTGTTGTCACAGCAGCTCACCTCTCCTGTGCTGCACAGCCTGAAGGGGCTGGGTTATATGAAGTGGGGTTACTTGTTCCATTTCTCACAAATCTTCACTTCTGCTAACCTGAACTCACTTCTGATCTTGTTCAGCTTACAATTTGACTAATAATTTACCTTTGCTTTTTTCTTTAAGAATTATGATTTTTTCCTTTCTAGATAAGTGATCTGTTCTTTCATTGCAGTTTCTGCAGTTTAATCTTGAATATCAGTGAATTATTGCTATTTCATAACTTCCTGTTTTTATCCTGAGTAACAATAGTAATACTGAGTCTATCTTACCAAGTCTTTGCTTACAGTAGGAGGGATTTTGCTCCCCCAGTACCCACCAAGAGATTCAAGGACACAAGGGACATGAGAAGCCTGACAGCCAGGGATGACTGAGGCAAAGAACTTGTTGAGTACCTCAGGCTTCTGTGCGTCCTTTGTTGCCATTTCTCTCTTTTCAGTTACTGGGGGGAATGAGAATCCAATATCTTCAAGTCTGGATGAGTAGGAGAGAACACATTATTGCTGGAAACAAACTATATCCTTCTGCATACTTTACTTGGCTTTATTCCTTTCCTTTTTTACTTTCCTTACAAAGTATGTTGTGTGTATTTCATGATTACATTTCAAGGAAAAGAATGAAGTGATGAATCTAATAGGATTCGGTACTAAGATCCTGGGGAGGCTGAATGAGCAATCTTTTCAAGTAGCTTGCGGAGAAAATGCAGAGAAATTATTCCAGAGAACTCCTATTTATTTTCTTTCACTTTCCAAATTGCATGAGATAACATTCTATTTATAAGGGAGAGATTGTGACATAACCAAAAGGAAGCTGCAATTTCATCCTCCTACATCAGTTGCAATGAGACTCAATGGCAGAAGAGCTAATAAAACCTAAGCCAAATTCTCTTATACAACTTCATCTTCAAGTTCACCTTCACTTCTCAGGAGAAGGACTAAAAAACACTCTGACTCATAGGCCACATACCACCTCTGCTTTGGTGTGCAATAAACCATTGAGAAGGAAATAATAAATGACCTTGCATGCTCCCAGGAGACAAACTAGGGATCTGCATCACCTGCTGTCTCCATGGCCAGGCAGTGCTAAAAGCTGCAACTCCCCACATTTATTTCTCCCTTGGTTTTGGGCACACTCATCTTCCTAGGATTTACCTATTTCCAATTACTCCTCCTGCTCAAGATTTTAATTAGGATTATTTAAATTAAAATGCATATTCTGGATTACATTACCTTGGCACCTTAGATTAAGCACGCATACAATACAATCTGAAGATAATAAATCATTATTCCAAGCTTCTATACCTCAGCCTGAAAGAGTATTAACGTCTTCAGTGCACTGAGTCAAAACCATAGAACTCAAATGTCAAACCACTGTGAGGAAGTCTCTGATCTCTACATCAAAGTGCACCAAACAGCAAAGACCCTGTTTGCAGCAGTGAACGTCTTGTGAAGGTCATGCAGTTTTCAACTTTGCTTAGAATAAACTTAGAAGTACTGATATGTTGAAGAATCCAATGTTAGCTCCATCTGAAACCAAGTGTAAAAAGTGTTAAGAAAGTACATACCTAATATCTAAAGACCACTACAGCTTTATAGGAAGTGCCTGCCTGCTTGCTTTAATCCAAATTAATGCACAGGATGCACACTCATTGCTCCTTAGGTGCAAGAGCATTCATACATTATCCTCACCCTACAGATATTTTGCTGGTTTTCTTTCCATAAAGTTTCAAGGTTAACCAGAGTTTGTGTTTGCCAGCTGCAGAACCACAAATTCTCAAGCCTAATGAATATAACTGCCTGCATTTCAAGAGACACTAACGATCTACAATTAATGAGTTAGTTACCTCTGAAAGAAAATCCTGACTAAAATTTCTTTCCAAGTGAGTCCCAGTAAGTTTGGACTACTAGCTCACATTCCAAGAAAGTCCTCTAAAAGCTTGAAATACATAGAGGGAGAAAATGGAAAAAGAACTTATAAAAGAAAAACAAAACTCACAGTCTACCATTACATCATTAGAGATGTTGATTTCCAGGAAAAAGCTCTTATCCTCTATTCTCCTGTAAGAATAGAATCTTTCATCATCTCTTTAGAACAAGGTGCTCCACTGTCTCCTTTAGGCTTATCTTCGTCCCTTTTCCTTGCCCTTTTTATATAAAAGAATCCCCCTAAGATCATTTTTAAACACTTAGACTCTTTAGAAAGGCTTCTCTTCTGAATGAGGTTGCTCCCTAAGCATCTTATATACTTCATCTTCTTTCTATGCCTCCTTTGATCAAGTCTGAAACCCAGTTATAATAACTTGCTAAAACAGAATAGAAAATGCACTCTTCCTGCCTGACAGACCATCTTGCTGAACAGAATTGAATCTGCTGCAGGTCTAGCCAACAAAACTCTCAAGCATCATCGTTAGATGTGCAGTCAATAATCAGAATTACAAGAAATGTACAGATTAATAGCTACCTAGTAGCTCTCATTCACTTTTATTCCTCTCTAGCTTTTTCTTGCAATCCCTATTGCACAAAACCTTTATACAGAAACCTATAAAATGAGTCTGGCTCGACATCATTTAGCTGGAAATAGGAGTAGGTAATACTAATCTTTGATAGTGCAAGCCACTCATTGGCTTTTGAGTGTTATCCAGCAAAGAATTACAAGACATGCAAAAAGCACTAACTATGAAGGGCAGTAATGCCTTAGCAGTAAGCCTCTGGGGAAGTCAACAGGTAATCACAAATCTTGGCCTGAAAGAACAGGCTTCATTTTCAGAGTCTTCAAGTAGGTCCTCCAAGGGCACTTTTCTCAGTGCAGAAAGAAGAGGAACAAGTGCCTTGTTGCCAGAATTTAGTTTCCAGAAGTGAAAACGTTTCAAAGCTTATACTTAAGGTAAATCCGACAGGCTAGAAATTATAAACCTTCAAATACTTGCCCTATTTAGCAGATGCTTAACTGAAGAACCAGAAACATACTTCCAGTCTAGATGGAATTTTAATCTGACCAAGGTTATTTACATTTTGCCCTAACCCTGCAATAATTCACTGCACCAACTCAGCAGTAGGGATTGCCTAACAGCCAATTGGAACCATTGTTATTCTTGCTTATGCTTTCGATTGAAGCATCAGCTAGTAACAGAATACACAAATTACAGTTTCACACTTTCACATGGAAACCTGCCTTTTTGGCTTAGGAGATGCAGCCTTTCAGTTGCTGGAGAACATTGTTCCTGCTCTGTATAATCCTTCATAATAGGCTCTTTAAAAGGAAGCCTGCAGCAGAAAAATATTTTGTTGTATTTTAAATAGCAATCTTTGAGGATCTCTTTATCTATTATGTCTTTGGAAATTTTGAGACCATCTTTTGACTAATTGGACAGTATGCAAATTATCATAGCCTAATTAAATAATTCAGAAGTGGGCCACTGACCTCAAACTAAAGTGATTTCAAAGTGAAGTAAATTAACACTCTTAACTTCTGAATACTTTTGAATAGGGAACACCTAGATGAGAGAACTTCACAACACAAGCTTCGTGTATTAACTTTATTTCAGTAATACATACAGAAATAAATTGCCACAGCTTTTAAGAAACTTCTGTTGCAACCAATGGCTAGATTGTTTAAACATGAGCATTGAAGATGTAATAGTCTGAGTCAGTTTCAGTTCAAGACAAAACATTACATAGGACAACTGAGTGATCTTGTGTGAAGTCTGCAATCATCCACTCAACAGATCAGTTCTGATGCCTTGCACATCCCTTGCTGGTTTTCTCTCTATAAAAGAAAAGCTTTATTTAATTTGCAGTCAGCATCAAATACCTGAATGGAGTTAAATGGCCTAAGATTGAACCATATGGACAAGCTACATGACACTAACCTTTAATCAAGGGCATTTCTCCATAAAGATTACATTTCCCAGGACAAGATTTTCCTTGCCCACACAATTAGCACACATTCTGGTCCAGAGCAAGTCTAGGAAGAAAAAACAAATCCACTTTACCAAGATATTATTTAATTTAGTTTGACTGATCTACATAAAACCAGTTTTAAAAACTCTAGACTTCTACAGAGGTTTCCAGAAGTCCAAACTAGTTTCAAACTAGGTGTTTTTGTTTTTGTGTTAATTTGTTTATTTAACTTTCAGTTAAGCAATAATTTAAGCTTCTTAGATAGAGACAACACAAGCCCATCCACTCAAGTCTGATAAGACTTTTTACACTACGTACCTGGAAGACCAATCAATTTACAAGGAACTCTTTTGACTCCATATCGTTTATCTCTATCTCATGAGGCATATTCTAGACAGTCAAGGAGCACCAACACACTTGAACTCTGAAAATTGAAAAAGATTAATGTGAAACAGAATTAGATAACATGATCATCAGACGACTTCCCCAATCCCAGAAGCTTCTTTGAAAGCTATAAAGTTGACTCATTAACTTTCTGAAATTCATGAATGTGGTTTTACGGTTTCATTAATGTGTTCCTCTCAGCGTGATCCAAAGAAGAGTTTCAGCCTCACCTCTGGGTTTGAGAGAGAACTGTTATACCCCTCCGTACTGGCCACTTAAGACACTGAGAGACTTAAGAGGGCAAAGCTAAAAAGGGGAGTAGATCATACCAATTTGTTCTAAGATTATTTGAATTTACCATTTACTCCGATCAGACAACTTACTTGAAACTCATGAATTATCAAAAAAGCATGACTTAAAATGGTCCATAACTCATTAAAGTAGAAAGCACTTACCTTCTTAACAGAAGGTATTATTCATTCCTAAGGAATCCTGAGGACTACTTTCAGTTTAGGTGTGATCATCCATTTCTAGCCTGCTTCGATCACAAAATCACTAAGTGACTCCTAATAACAGAGAGGCCAATTATTACAGTGTAAAATTTCAGAAGTCACTTATGAAATTTATTATCAAATATCTACAGCAAGGTGTAGTAGGTGGTTTAATCAAACGGACAAGAATATCCTTTTCCAATATGGCCATTTAAAGTAAATAGTACATATCTTCTTAATATTGCTAAATACACTGCTAAACAGTACACTTAAATTACTTCTGGTGCTAACATTACCAGAAGCTGGGAGTTCTCAGCTTCAGGAGAAGCCTTAACTGGCTAATTCCTTACCACCGTGTGCCTACTTGCTATACCTTGCAACAAATCACAGGGAGACACCAAAAGCTACTGTATCAGATAGAAGAGGAGGCCGGGCCTACGGAAAACTACCGCACAGAGGCAGAGCAACGACGGGCTGAGCTCGACCTATGAGACCCGGCGGGGACAGAGGAAAGCTCACTCTGAGGCGGCACGCCCACCTACCGGCATCGGCAAGCGAGGCTCCAGCCCCAGCACGGCCGTGGCAGCGGCCGCCGGGACGGGGAGCGACCAGCTGGGCAGAACCCCGGAGGGCATCGGGAGACCTCGTGGGGACCTCGCGCCGGAGCTGGGGAAGCAGAGAGAAGTCAGCACGGGAGGGGATGGAAGGAGCCGTGGGGCGGAGGGAAGGGACGCTTGTGCCTCACGACAGGATGCAGGACGGAGGGGCGGCTCCGCGCTGTGTTTATGTGAGGAAGGCTCTCTATCCCCCTGTGTTGACTCCTCGGGGCACTGCCAGGCTCCGAGAGGGCAAATGTGAAGGGAAGACGCGATGTAGGCCCCCGCCCCGCCCTCCGCCCACCGGCACGAGCCTCCCCCAGCCTCCACGCCACCCGCCCCTCATACGAGAGGAACGCCAGGCGGAAGCCTTACCACCTCACCGCCGGGCGGCGGGGAAAGAGGGCGGGCGGTGCCTCCGCGGCCTTTAAATACGGCCCGCCGCTCCCGCGAGATCCGCGCGAGCCCGACGTCTCTGGAGAAGGCGGGGAGGGGGAGCCAGCGGCACGGGCGCCGTCGCCTGTTGGTTGAGTAAGAGCACGTGACCGGAGGCGGCGTTCCGCCCCTCACAGGACAGGTAGCGGGATGTGCGTGCGGGTCTCGGGGTCGCTGGAGCTCGGGGAGGGCTCCAGGCCTGAGTCAGGAGCGGGCTAGGGCCTGTAGGGCTTCTGTCGGGATGCGGCTGCTCAGCGCTCCCCGGATGGCAGCTGCGCGGGTCCGGAGGTCTTTAACGTGCCCTGCACGTTCGGTGAAATTTTTACGTTCGGTGTAAAGTAGCAGCTGCATAGCGGTTTCAAGAAGCTAAATACAGCTGATCTCTGTCTAAACTCCCGTCTAAGCCCTTCTCTAGAAGGCTTAGGATTTGCGTGTAAGGCTGGCGAGGCAAGCCCTAAGGCCGTGCTAATACCCCGCTGACTCCCAGCAGGTGAGCACGCCTGGGCAGTAGGCGCAGGGCCGGCCGGCCCGGCACGTTCGATTACACACAGCACGTGTCACCAGCCCTGGACGCACTGCCTGGCCTTGGAGGTTTCAAGTCTCTAAATTACAGTCAGCCAGCCTAGTTGGTTTGATTCAGGCTAAAGCAGACACATAGTAACAACCAAGGGATAGTTAGAGAAGTTTTCTTACCACTTGTAGATACTTGGCTAAATCTTGATACAAAATCTAAATCTTAAAACACTGTTGCAGGTGCAGTCCTTTTGTGACAGTATGCCTGTTACCACGATATCAGGATTGAAAAGCAGCCTCCTGACTACAAGTACGCCACTCTGCTTAAGAGTTTGCAGATGCACCTAGCTTCAGGTGATTTCATGTGAGGATCTGCACGATAAGTATTTTTCTACAGGTAGGCAAGTAAGCTGGATCAGTCTGTTCATGTAATTTAGTCAACAGCGTAAAGAGGCAGGCATTCAGCCTTTACATTTTTGCCATCCATGACTTCTACTATGGAAGCTTGACTAGTAAACACAAAAGTACTAGGGGCATGGGGGGGCAGGAATGGTTAAGGAGAGCTGTTTCAAGACCTTAAGATTCAGGTTTTATGTGCTGTTTTTGATCCACAGTGATTACCTCCTGATAAAGCAAAGCCATCACTTCTTGTGAGTGTGAGGGGTTAGCAGGCAGGTTGTGCACATGACCAGGAAAAGCTCATCAAGTCCCTCGTTGATCATGCCAGTGGTTCATTTTTCCTGCTGACACCAGGGCACCTCTGTTTTAGGCAGTCACCGTGAAGTATATTTTGAGGTCTGTGTTTTGAACTTACCTAAGTGACAACTGACTGTCTTGGTTATTTTGTGCACTTAGTGTTGATTTTTTTAAAGGAGCCTATGGTGATCTGAACTCAGCTGTTCAGATTTTGTAGGTTGGTGCCCTAGTCATCAAGGTCTCTCTTTGTAGGATGCATGAATTTCTCTCAGTCATTGGTTTGATACCTTTCTAAGTGGACAGAATTTCATTTGTTCAAAAACATCACACTGAGTTCATCAAAATGCACAGTTATTTTTATGTTTCTATTCAGTTTCACTTCTTTTCTCCACATAGATATGAAGGAAAATCAAGCAAGCAAAATCTTGATATAGCTGTCAGTCTTTGCTGATAAATGTCAGTATCCATCTGCATTATATAACTGGCAGATTTGGAACCTTACCATGCAGTTGTTTCTGTGTTTGTTTTTTTTTTAATCTATATGTCCAGTGCAATAGGACTGTGTCTTAATTAAATCCGTGGGATGTTAATTCATTAAAAATGTAATTTGATTAATTTATGCCACCATTTACATGAAATGAAAGGACCGTTTCAAATTCATGCCCAAAATAGACTAAATACAGCTTCCAGCCTATCTACTATCAAAATATCCTTTGTGTTTTGTTCTCTCTATGTGAGACAAAATTAGAGCCTGTGGAATAGAATAAAAACAATAAAAGAAATCCTTGGGGGTATGCAAACCAAATTTGTTATTTCTGAAGGTTTCTGGTGTTTTTTTCTCAGTGAATCTTTTCTGAAGAATGGCAAATTACTTCCATGGCTATGAAGTCTGGTCATCTCAGCAGTACATAATGGTTAGAACTCAAATGTGCTTTCCACTCTGCCAATATAACATTAATATTAGCACAGGTAGGCTGGATTCACAGATGAATTTAATGCAGACTTTCATTTTCTCTGCTTTAAGTTTGGTAGGTGACAACTGAGTTTGCTAAAATTCTAAAAATAAATGATGATAACAATGTAACTTAAAAAAAGAATTACAGAATTGGGAAAAAAAAGCGGGTAGTAACTGCCGTGAGCTGATAATGTCCTAGAGAAGAAAGATGGGTCTTTTATTGGACTAAGGGACCCCCGAGAACCCCTCCACATTTGTTTTCCATGGACTGCCGTGAACTTTAGAACATAACACACTGCTATCATTAGAACTCCAGAAGTCAATAGAATATCTCCTGTGGACCTGTTAGGAAGTTCAGTCCATGGGCTGCAAGCTGGCATTTGGCATTGTACTAAAGCTTCCAATCTGTTCTGCAATGGGAGCCAAGTTTCATGGAAAATATCTGTTGTTAACTTTAGAAAGGGATTATCACGGGACTTTCTACTCTGTTCTTTCTTTTTCTTGGATGTAGCGTTAGAAAGTACAATTTTTCAGCTTTGCAGTGATCCTCACATAGGCGAATTCCTATTACTCTGACAGCCCAAAGAGCTGATCTTTCTCACTGAAGTTAATGATGAGTTGTACTAAAAGTTGAAGGCATTATGTAGCCCAAATAAGGTTAAAAAGCTTTGGCCTAGTGTTTATACAATGTGTGACTGTCTTACCTTGCAGAAAAATGGAATGCCAGACAAATTTGTATCTCTAGAATAAAAATTCAATGCTGTGGGAACAACAGTCACTGAAATTTCCCTTTTCTCAACAGAAATCAACCTAAAAACTGTAGTCTCAGTAATCTGAGGGGTTTGTATCTGTCCTTAGTGCTCATGCTTCTGTCAGCATGTTTGTTCATGCTTTTAAATCTGCAGTGATCATTTTTGTAGTACAAATATTGTGATATGTGAAAGATGATAAAGTGTTTCTAAAATTCTAACTATACTGATAGTAGTGCTGATAATGAATTCAGCTATCTTGGATAGCTGAATTCTCTTTAATTTCTGTTACGTACTCTCCCACCTCCCAGAAAATCTGAGTCTTGTTTTAACTGCATTTCCACTAAAACTTGTCCCTATTTCCTAGAAATTGAACCCAAATATGATTATTCCAAAGACTTTTTCAGCAAAATTGATGGATGATCTCCCCTTTCTGGACTTATTTCAGGGATTGGTTGTTACAACAAAAATTTAAATGAACCCTCTGCAAATTTCTCATTTCTGGAAATGAAATGGAATGTTTTCTCTTAACACAGTGAGCCAGTATTAGCTTTGCTACCAACTATGCTGTGTACATTTGGACAACTCACACGAAGTTTCTGCTGCCTGTTTTCTTTGTAAAATAGGCTGATATTAACTCGTCTCCCAGTAATTTGACAGCTCTAAGTGAATGTTTGCAAAGTAGTCTGAGACTTTCAGGTGGAAACCATTAGGAAAGTCACAGCCTCAGCCAGCCAAAGGGGGTATTTGCAATAGGTACTTATTTTATATAGTGAAATACAAATGTTGGAATGTATAACCAGATGAAAAAAAGACTGACCTGAAAGTGAATGCAAGAGGAGAAAGACCGCTCTAGAAGTAAATGCAGGAGACGTTTTTTGACCTTTCAACAGAAATTATGTAAGTGCTCTCAGGTTATAAATAGCCCCTTGTTTTCCTTCTCTTTGTTTAGCACTCAGAAGTAACACTGGGTTACTTGTTTGTTATGAAGAGATAGGGCAATGCTTTGGAGTGGGAACAATTGCTCACTGTTCTTTATTTACACAGATCCTATAGTGTTTGCAGCTAAATTTTATTGCTTTTCTTAGCAGTTTTTTTTATCTTCAAAAAGCTACAGAAATGAACTTTCTAGTTCTGAAAACAACAACCCCAAAGGAAAACCATAGCACTCACCAACCCGTTTAAAGAGGGAAAGTTTCTTTTTGTCTGGCCTGATCTGTGGCTTAAGAGCAAATTAGTCGGTGCTAAATGATCATTAAACTAGCACATTCCTTATTCAACCCTTAAACAGAAGGTACTAAATGCTTTGTAGAGCAGTATGTGTATACATGTGTGTGTCTGTATGTCCATATTTCAAAATAAGCTATCTTCCACAATGTCCAATTCCTTTAACAATGACAAAGAGCTTACCTAGTAGCAATTTATTTGGCAACACCAACATGTAACAAATAGAAACTGCCTGGAACCTTACTCTGGAAATCAGGGAATGGGGATCAGCTAGAAAGCAGAAGTATGGAAATACCTCTTACCCTTGGGGTGCCTCGGGGATTGGGGCATTTTGAACATCTACTTTGTATTTCTTTAGGTTTTGTGACCCTGCTGTTACTATGTATGTAAATTACTTTGTTGCCTTATTTATAAACCATTTATAAAATGGTTTATTTGCTCCATTGATTTTCACTGAGAGAGAGCATGATACCCTACAGTAAATCAAAATAAATACTGTGTAGCAAAGATAATTGAGGTGGTCTTCTGAATTAAAGGGATTTGGGTTTAAAAAACAACTACAGTACAGTACATTCAATCTCTGTGGGCTACTTTGAAATGCACTGGAGATGGACTCAGGCCTCGATTGCTTCATGACTGCAGCTGGAGGTGGCCAGTCATGAAATGACACCTGGGCTGAGCTCCCGTTTCCTTTGGTTAATTCAACAGG